CCCTCTCTTACTTCTACGGGGTGCTACAGGACTTCGACAGGACCTCATGGGACTGCGTGCTGCAGGGTGCCCTGTCCACCTTCTCCAATACCAGCTCCTTCTTCTGGACCATGGCCATTGCCCTTTACCTCTATATCACCATTGTGAGGGGCTCGCCCACGGGCACAGGCTTGCTCTGCTGCTTCCATGTCGTGAGGTGGGTGCTGTCCGCTGTTCCCGTCGGAGCACGAGGTGTGGACCCCGCTGGCACCCACCCTGTGGCCAGGAGCCATGCGGCATGCTCCGCTCTGATGGAGCGCTTGGGTGGTTGCTCGAGTCACCTGCTGTTTTCTTAAGGATAGTGTGCCCTTCTCAAGTTCCTTTTAAACAGGGGTTTCGCTGTCTTTTAACTAAACAGCCCTGCTTATTTCCCCCCTCCCTTCCCAAGTGAAGAAATGGAGACGTGGAAAAGTTAAAAATTATTTGCTTAAGGTCACATAGAAAAATCTCTGGCAAGGGATAATGACTCTGCAAATCCTGGCTTCTGCTTTCCCACAATCTGCTCTGACATCCTAGAAATAGTATCTTGAAACTTGTGTTTGCTATACCTGCCTGCTGCTGTCAAAACTCCCGTGTTTGGGATCTGTTTCCACGGGTCCCTGACTTCCCGGTGTCAGCCTGGTCTGTAGATCCTTCCCCTTTCCCCAGGCAGGTTGCTGTAATTCAATGCTCAAAGGAGAATGTAGTCTACAAGTGAGGAGGCTGCTAGAAAAGCACTCTGAAGGTTGTTTTGGCGTGTTTGATTGAAAGCAAGACAAAACAGACCACAGTGTAGCTTTATGTCTCAGTTTATGCTATTTAGCGAGCTGATTTTCCACGTCATGTTTAGTAAAAGCTTTCATTATGCAATTTGAGCTTGTGGAATCATGTGCTACCTCCACACTGAGCAAAACAGTGATCCTTTAGTCCTCTGTGGTGCCAAGCTTTTGCAATAAATTATAAGAGGAATTATCTAGTTTTTAAAAAAAAAAAAAAGCCGTCGAATTTTCTTTGGTTTCTTAGTCAAATATTTGTCACCTCTTATTTTCAAACAGCATTCTTTGGGAGGTGATTGAATTCGAGTTGAGTCCAGGTAAAGGTGGGCCAGAGAAAGACACGAAGGCTGTGTGAATCAGGGAGGAACTTTGATTCCTGTTCTAATTGCCCTACGTGTTCTAATTATTGCTTGGCAGCGAGGTCTGCATGTGCGGAAGCCTGAGGTGACCACACGTGCATCTGGGTACACCAGGCTATTGTTGGTGAAGTTGAAGTAAGATGCAGTGAAACAGGGGAGATTGTTAGGTTATTTCATTTCAAGTGAATAGAGTTGCACCGTAAGAACTATGGAGAGACGGCGTGCCAGTAAAGAGCCACATGTTGCTTAAGAAACAGGAAAAAGGAGTCTGACTTCTTTATGGGCATGCTGTCTACATCAGGCTACATCAAAGAGTTGATGCAAATCTGGCCTGTTTGTAATTTTCCTGTCTGCTAATCGCTTGTATGGCTTTTGTTTGTACTTCAACTTCTCCATCTGGTTTAATGCTTCTCAGCCTCATCGGCTACGAAGTGCAGAAAGAAACAGGCAGAGTCACTGAAATAACGCTGGCCGTAATCTGTGCACTCTTCTCAAACTGTAAAAATCCTGAAAGATTGCTCTAACCCTGCAACAGAAATGAACTTCCTCTGGGGGAATTTGCGAGGTTTATTTTCAGGTCTTAGCAGTAAAAATCAAATGCTATCTTCTGTTCTTGGTATTGATCAGCTCCACTTGCTCTGTTTAAAGGGCAATATAGATAGCTTTCATCGAAGATCTATTGCCAGGTCCTGCTTCGTAAATGACCCCCGTTCCGTGCAGAGCCACTGTTTAAAGCTTCTTCCTGCTTTACAATCTGTATGAAAAGCCAGAGAAAACAAGTGAGGAGCTGGTCTCTGCCCATCCCCTTGTGACACATCTTCCTTCTTTCCTTCCTTCCGCTTTTATTATTACCTGAGAACTCAATCATAAAATTAAATTCTGGACATAATGCTTGGGGATGGCTCCCCCTCGCACTTTGCAGTGCTTCAAAGTCCTCCTGGCTATCTTGGTGCTGTTAGCCTAAAGATCTTTTAGTACCACGCAGATAGGAGCTGCTGCAACTGATATGAAAAGATACTAGTCCATACATTAATTGGGGAAGGTAGGCGAGGGAGACCTGTCTAGGGCAAAAGGAAAGGTGGCAAAGGGCAGATGATGTTTTAAGGAGTTAAAGATAAGTTTCCAGTATTTTTGTCTAGGCAAGAACCTGGGATTTTTTTTTTTTTCCCCTCCTTACTTCATAGGTTGCTAATGCAGTCATGCAGCCACCACTGTGGGAAGAGTCATCCCGAGAGACACTTCTGGAAGGGATTCAGGGCAGGATGGGGTTTTGTCCTGCATGTTTCCTATTCTTCACAAGCAGTTACTCATAAGGGGCGAGTGTTGAGTATAATCAGAGACTGTTTGTTCTTTAGCTGAGTGGAGCTGACTAAATACGTGTTGGAAGTTAGCACCTGAAATTTTTTTTAGGGAAATTAGGATGTCACACTGGATGAAACCTGTCAAACAGGTTTGTTCCTTATTGTACCTCATGTGGTAAAACATCCACCTATTTTACTGCAAGACTAGAGAACTACAGGCTCTGTTTTGGTTTTAAACTTGTGTTGATCTTGGATGAGCTTTGAAAACAAGCTTACAGGTAGCTTTGAAAATATTTATGTAGTTGTAAGGTGTAAGTTCTGGCACCCACAGCATAAATTTCCAGGCTACCTCACTTGTTCTGGATTTCTAAATATCAAGTATCATTTAGTTGGGTAACGTCATCTTTGCTGTGAGAGTAGTTGATCCAAACTCGGGGTGAGGAATGGACCAGAACCCGCCTTGGGTTTGTTTCTTGCTTTGCTTTTGTAGCAATTGCTGTCAACCTCTGAAGTATTCGCATTTCGTGATCAGGCTATGCAGATGGTTATAAGCACATATATGCTTTTATATAGAGAGAGAAATAAAATTTTTATGTGTGTGCTTATATATATTTTATATATGTGTGTGTGCTTATATATATGTTTATAACCATGCCTGTATATATGCATGCATGTCCATGGAGTACTTGAACACCCTTTCGTGTGCTGCTGTACTGTACATCTGAATCCTCAGACTTAACTCCCCAAGTGTTGCCTGGAAGGTGCAGGAATCTCTTGAAATTTGCTGTGGCTTTGTCGTTTAGTTTATAAAAGCTTGTAGGTCAGGCCAGCCAAAGTGGGAGCTACCTGACTGCTGGTGCCTCAGCTTTTAAATCCTTGCATGCTTCTCTGGGAGGAGTCTCTGCTTGGTACCAGGAAGTAATGGTAATGTTTGGGGGGGGGAAGGCAAAAATTAAATTGAGCAGATTTAGTCTGGAGTTCTGCTTACAATGTATGCTCAAAGCTCTTTCCTGAAATTGGCTGGTATATCCAGAAGACTGATTTTTCTCTCTTACAGAGTAAAAATTCCTGTCCCCAGAAGGAATCGCCTGCAGGCTTGCAGGTAGGATGGCTTGTTGCCTAACCTGTGCAGGCAGGTGACTGTGCAAGTCGTTCCTGCTTGTAAGAGTCTCTGGAGGAAAAAAAAAAAAAAGCAGCAGCTGTGCAGCGTAAATCAAAATGTGGTGTTAAGCAATCTGACCCAGGCATACTGAGGACAAGAAAACCAACACAGCTTGAGCTGTACGCTGCTATAGCTGAAGGATCCTTGTCCAACCGTGTATAAATGCAGCATTGGTGTTAATGTGGAAAGATCTGCTGGGTTGTATGTATTTTTAATAGATTGCTGGGGACTATATTAGGGAAATAAGGACTGTTGTATCTGCCTTAGAGGTGGGATTGCCAGCCTGCTTACAGAGATGCAAGGAGTAGCCTTCCTTCCCTTCTCTCCCACACTGATTGCGTTTAGATCCAAGTGTGCTTTGGAGAGGCCCAGCCTACATAATTGCACTGGTTTTGGGGCTCAGAGTAAAATTTCTGCCTCTTAGTGTTATCTTGGATCCTTTTTATTCCAGTCTTTACGTATGCCTTGGGTTATAATACTGTGATTCTTCTGTTCCTCCATTCTTCTAGGTGGGTATAAAGCATTGGTATTTTCCAGTCCTTGAGAATCTGTCATTTAAGGGTTCTTAAGAATAATCAAATCACTAGTCTCAGTTCTCCTTTCCAGTTTTCTAAAATAGAGCTGAAGTTCACTGAAATGTCTGTTTACTTTCTAGATTGTTTCTAACTTTGCTTTTGAGTTTGTAATCCTTTCTCCTTGGTGTTAGTTGTAATAGCCGTCTGATCCCAATACACCATTTCAGTGAAAATTAACTGCCTGACATGTGGCTGTTTTCTTCCACATTCTTCCTTTTACTAGTTAGATACTTGAAGATTTTTTTTTAAGTCCCTTGCCTAGTGGTCTGTTATTTCCTACTGCCTCTCTCGCTGTGTCTGTATGTACTTATGCTGTTCTCTTTTACAGCCATGCGTAGTGATTTGACCTGGTTTTATCTTCTCAGATAATTCTCTTTCAGTTTCAAGTCACTGCGGGGATCATTATTTAGGCAAATTAGTTTTTTAATACACTTCCTTTTTCTTGGTGCTGGACTGATTTGTGCTTGTGTGCCTTAATATGGTTTCTTTAAGGAAGTGCCAGTTCTCTTGAATTCTTTACCTTAGTGGTCAGCTCTTCCAAGTATACTGAAATTTCAGCGTCTTTGCATCTGTAATCCTCGTTTTCAGGCAAATCACTGTTTTTACCAAAATGAGTCTTGAGTTGTGTAGAAACTTTCAGGGTGGTGGCGATGTTTGGAATGTTTTTAGAAAGCCTGCTCTGATAATAGCACGGGGAGGGCTTCCTGCAGCAGAACTGTTCTTAAGTAACAGCAGCGGCTTGGATTAGCACTGGCTGTTCTGAACTGAACGTGGAAACAAAATGTTCTAGACATGCTAAAAGGTTGACTCTGATTTTTTTTTTTAACAGCATTATATTTACATTTGTTTTGTTTTGTGAGTAAGTGAAGCCAGACATTATTTAAGAGTAGGAAATGGGATTTTTTTGATATCGAATATCATGGGATTATCTCTGATTTTTCAGTTGGGCTGTGGAATTTCAGATAATCTGGTCTAGGCAACTGCTGGTTGCCTATGCAGTCTGATGCATGTGAAACAGATTTTAGGAGGAATATCCTTTTCATGTTCTCTGCAGCTGCTCCAGGCTGTCTGTGAAAGACGAGTGTGAACCAGGAAGGTAAGGAGAGCAATACAGTAATGGCTTTGTTTTCTTTGCATCTGGAGAGACCAGGAGGGTTATGCTGGAAGCTCAGTCTGAGCACTCTCTGAAGCATTTGTGTCAGTTATTGAGCAAGTTTCCCATGTCCCTCTTAAGGCTCCACAGACCCTTTCTCCGAGGATGGATGTGGGAGGGGTAGGTGATGCATTCAGTTGAATGCAGGGCAGTGTGTCAGTTGTGGAGTAATTTGTGAGTTGTACATCACGGGGTAGGGCAGGGCTGTAAAGCCCTGGGTCCTAACAGCACCCAGGAAGGGGCTGAGTATTTTTACATTTTCAGTTCTTGCTTATGAGTTTATTTGTCGGCAGCCCAAGCTGCTGAGTGACTTAATTCATGTGTGTCACCAGTTACTTTTCCTCTAAATGCTTCCCTGTATTTGCGTCTGCTGTCAAGAGAGAAGCCGAAGTCAAAACACAGCTCTGAATTATGTGAATATGACTCCTCTTTGCTTTCTTAGCTTTTTGCTGTTACTGCCAGTGCTTTTCCTTGGGAAGAAACTTGCCCTTTGTACTTCAGAAATTATCCTTTTGCTCCCAAAATACTGACTACCCCTCCATTAAAAACAAAAAACCCCCCCACTGATGGAGTAAAATTGTGGACTTCTTTGTGTGCTGGTCCTTGTGTGCCAAGTGTCACTTAGGAATCAGAATGTGGGATTTGGTTGCTTGTGTTCTGAAAGCTGTGAATCAGCCAGCTTGCTCTTGAGTGGCTGGGTCCTACAGGATCATCACACTGTGCAATGCTCTGGCCTCGTCGAATCCTCGACCTCGCCTGTATCCAGGAGAGAAGGGGAGAAGGGGAGTAGGTGGGATGTCTCCTCTTCACCTCGCTGGACCCTGACTGCTTGCTGTGCGGGCCAGGTTCCAGTTTAGAGTGTAGCACATCATGATGCGTCTGTCCTTCAGGAGTGGGGATCCAAGTTCCTCGAATGGGTCCCTAGGAAGCGGATTTGCAGTCCATGTTCATGTGCTGTCAAATACTGTTTGTCAGTCACTTCCCTCAGGCCTGATGCAGGAATGTCGATGTCCTGGGGTAGGTATTGGCGTCCTGTCTGATGAAGAATCCCTTGGACTGCCACCCATTTTCCCTGGGGTGTGGAGGGACTAAACTGCACGTTCTTGGCTTAACCTTGCTCTTCATGTTCTTTCCTCAGCTGGGGAGTCCCCCTTGGCATTACGGTGGCTGCTGTTGCTCTGAAGAAGATTGGCTATGATGCCTCCAATGTTTCTGTGGGCTGGTGTTGGGTCAACTTGGATGCAGAGGATCGGGTCTTGTGGATGTTGTTAACGGGGAAAGTTTGGGAGATACTGGCCTATGTGACTTTGCCGGTGCTCTATATTCTCATCAAGAAGCACATTAATAGAGCGGTGAGTATTTTGCTGCTTTCAGCTTAGGTTACAGATTTGCTATGTGATTATATCCTCCCATGCTCTGAAGATTTTGCTGCATATTTAGCAGCTACACAGGCAGGAATTGCTTCATGTAACGCTGAAATGCATCTGCCACTGGGAGAAGCAGTACACCTGATTGAGCAGCCTGCAGCATCATTACACAATGACTTAGCACAAGGAGAATGTAAAAGCCTTTTGAAAACTTAAGGGGTTATGGGAAGTACATGGGTGAAATGTGAATCCTGCAGTAAGAATTGAAACAAGATGTGAAGGACAAAATTCAGCCTTAATCAGTCTTCCACAGTTCCACTTGTACCAAGCCTGAGTTTGGCATCTGGACTTATCTAACTTCAGTCATTTTAGGATCTCTAATGATAGTCTGCATTTATGAATACCTGTTTTGTACTAGCAGCATAAAGCCCCGTTTGGGAGTCTGAGCACTATAGCATTAGGCACCATGTGCGTACACGATACAGGAAGACACCCTGTCCTAGGAGGGTTTCAGAACTCAGAGGCTTATTTGCTGCTGTTCCTTGTGAACACAAAGAATCCAGGCATCTAGGACAACATTTGCCAAATAGAGAAATCTAGATTGAGAGTGGCAGAAGGAACTACATCGAGATGCCTTTTTTCTCTAAGTTGTATTGGGGGGGCGGACCTGGATAGATGTCCTTCTGGAAAACGCTGCCACTGCAAACCTGCTTGCTGTGGTGAAGCTATGGCAGGGGTAGTTAGGGATAAACACAAATGTGGTTAGGGCAGGATCCTGCAGACGAGTTGGAAGAACAACGTAGTCTTAAGCAGTCCTAAGGGTCCTGGGAAAGGGGAGTTGGGAAGGGTTTGCTAGTGCCTGTCACCGTCACCTGACGTAAATCAGACAGGACTCTGTGTCCCAGCAGCTGTCAAAGGTAGCGGTGTGACTGCCAGGAAACCGGACCCCCACCTGGCCAGGCTCTTACCCTCTTGCTCTGCCAGGGATTCTTGGGCACTCTGCTCTCCCTTTCCCGCTCCCAGCCCTGACCCTCTTCCAGGAGCAGTGCTGAGGGCAGGCAGTTGTCACTCTCCAGTCTCATAACGGGGGGGCTGAGGGCTGGAGCAGCAATACACAGGGCCATTTGGACTGGAGAATCTCTCTTCTCATCGCTAGGGATTTTGCCAAGCCTGGTACCCTGCTCACTAAGCTCTTTACTGGCAGGAGGTCTCCCACTTCCAAGGAAGAGCAGTAGGCAACCAGGGCTGGGTTTGGGCTGTAGTAGAAGTGGGTTTTGCAGTAGTGGCTCCTACCGTACGAGAGGCAGGAGAAATTCTGGAAGTAGCTGTTGTGGGGGAGACACGCAGGGCGTGTACTAGGGGCTTTCCAAATGGGAAAGACTGCATGGGAGTGGATGGGAAGCTGCACGGAAAGCCCTCAGCGGGGTTTGACTCAGGCTGTTGTGCAGTGTTGTCGTACAGCTTTGTTCTGGAGGAAGTAAAGTGTCAGGGCTGGGAGTACTGGAGCCAAGGAGAATAACTATGCATCAAAGTTGTGTGTGCTCTGTAGCCCTGACGGTAGGAGGAATAGTTTTCTGCAGGTCAGCTATCCTTAGATCTAATCTCTTCACCCACATTAACATCCTGGTATTTAGCACCGTGTGTCCCAGCAGCTGCTCTGTGTGCTGTGTTGACCTGCTCTCCTCCATCCAGGAATCTGCATCCAGTAGCTTCTACCATAGGATGGTCTTATGGGCTTTATACCTCCAACCATCCTGATCCAGGGCACAGATCCGTGATGTTTTTTTCTACGTGTACTGGTAGAGAGAAGTTTGCTGGCTTGTCCAAATCCATGGAAGCCCACTGCTGACAGTATATGGTCAGAAATTAGGCAGCAGGTTCTACACAAACACACTGAAGGACTGGTTCACACGGACATAAATCCCTTGTGGAACTTGCTGGCTGAAGGTGAAGGCCAAAAGTTTGAATAGTTTGAGAAGGATGAGCCAGACTTCTCCCCGCGTGTGTGTATATATATATCTCTTTATATATCTATATTCATCTATTAAGAGGTCTTCCCAAGGCCAAACCCTTAGCCATGCATTTACAAAGTGGTAAAGTCAGGAGCAATGGGGCCAGGCCACTGGCCCAGCAAAACTATTTCCTGGAGCACTGCTTTTTTTTTTTTTTTTTTTTTACTTTGTTATGACCTGGTTTCTTGGCAACTCCATAGTGATGTTTGTTAATATAAAGCTTTAGTGGGACTCTAAGGGCCGGATATCCTCTATTTGCTCCTCCTTAGCTTCAGCAGGACAAGGGCAGAATGTGGCTGAAGACCGGTGCTCCTAACTGTGTCCCTGTTAACTTCCCGCAAGATGCAAAAATTGAGTTTGCTTTGGAAGGAATCCCTGGAGCTAAATGTCCAATGTGTGTAGCTTTTTGTTCACGTTTTTGTCTCCCTCCCACCCTCCATGGAAGCACGCAGCTCTCTCAGAGTATCGCCCCATTCTCTCAAGAGCACCTGCATTTCAGCCCCGGACTTCCATAGCAGATAAGAAGTTGATTCTCATCCCTGTCATCTTTATCATCCTCCGCATCTGGAGCACTGTGCGATTCATTCTGACCCTCTGTAACTCCCCTGCAGTGCAAAATTCAGTCCTGGTTGTCCTGCATGTAAGTATTTGCCAGGAAATGCATTAGAAGGAGGATCTGGGAGGGAGATAAGGCTTTGTTGCTCTTAATAGCACTTTTTTGTGGCAGGATGCAGCACGTACTGGTAAAACACGCGTGTTGCAAGAACATCTGCTCCCTACTGGCAAGCGCTGACTGGGATGCTCAGCAATAGCTGTTTCAGCAGCATCTGGTGGCTACAGAGAATAACTGCAACAGAAGCATTGGGCAATGCTGGCTGCTTGTAGGAAAAGCAGGCTCAGACCAGAGCTGTTGGGTGTCTGTCCTTCAGCAGGGCTCAGCCTGCTCCTCCCCTGGACCAGGCTGTGGAAACGGCAACCCACGGCAGCCATCTGGTCTGCTTTTGGGTGCAAGGTTGATATTTCTAAATTTATTTTTCTCATTTAGGTGGAAGTTGCTGTCCGTCTGTTGGGCAGTACTATAGCTGGTCTGACATGATGTTTGCTCTTCTCTGGGGGGTGCCTGTAGGAACGGTACTGGTTAATTCCTTTCTTGCCCTTGCAGGGAATTGGTAACACGTTCCAAGGAGGTGCCAACTGTATCATGTTTGTCCTCTGTACGCGGGTAGTCCGGACTCGGCTGCTTTCCTCCATTTGCTGTTGCCACTACGATGAGTTGGATTGGCCTTTGCAAAGATCAAACAGCTACTGGCAGCGCCCAGAACCCCCCAAGGACAAGGACGTGCCAGGCCCTGAGCGGACAAAACCCCAGCTTTCCAGCACCTGAGCCTGGGCTGCCTACATCTCAGAGTTGATTTCTTCTTTCTTGGTAAAGATCTAGTGTGAGTCTTTCCTCCTGCCCTGCCTGTGCACAGCTTCGTGATGTGAGGGGTGGGGAACAGCTAGCAGTAAGCGGTTGGCAGAGGTAGGTTCCTGCTGCCGCTGTGGGGGTTCACTGTCTATTCTACAGCAGCTCCCCGTCATGCTTTTTTGGGGTGAAACCATTTATAGAGCCGATCCACTCCCCCTCCCTGGGAGCTGGGGTACTGCCTGTTACTCAAGCCTGTGAAATGAGGAAATAGTCTGCAGTGCTGTCTGGCCCACAAGGACAGGACACCAGTGAAAACTGAAGAAGAGGAATTAGTGGCTCCTTTTGATGTAAAATACCATGCACGCATACATTTCTTCTGTACTGCACAGTTCAGATGTATTTAGTGCCCCGAGTATTCCTCATAAGGTGATGCAATCCCTGCTGCCGATCATCATAAAAAGAAAACGGCGGGGAAGTGATTCACCCAAGCTTATGTGGAAAATCTGTAGGAGCAAAAACTTGACAGAAGCTCTTCATCATTTCAGGTACAAGATTGGACACTGATGTCCTTGCATCGGTCTAGTTGTGTAAGCATCTTGTTTTCCTTGCGCTTGACCTCATGAGTGATAGTTGTAGAACATATAGGGGTGTCAGACTTAACCCATTTAAGAGCATTTGGGGTTGGGGTGCTGTGTGGGCTTCTGTCTGAGGCAGATATTGCTAGCACTCTCTTCAGTAATAGAGTGCAGCTGAAGGAGGTAAAAACCTAGAGTGGCAAACCTGACTGCTTAGGTAAATGTAAACTGTGATGTGCTGGGAACTGCAGTCTCTTCAGAAAGAGTGGGAAACCCCCCGCTTCTGCGGTTACACTTACCCTGCAGGTCACACTCAGTAAAAAGGGCTGAGTCTGAAACGCAGCGAGCCTGTCTGTGCCATGGGGCACAGCAGGCGCTGAGCATCCTGGAAAGCAAGCTGGGTATGGTAGGTCTCTGAGTAGATCTCTGTCACCTACATCTGTTGCTTGTTCTCCCAGACCACAAAGCCCCCCAAAAAAGGGATATTTTAAAATCAGTTGACAATTCTTTTTAATTTGTGTAACGAGTTTTTGCAAAAAGAGCAGGAGCCTCATGGATTGCCTGGGGAGAGGGGGCAGCTGTCGGGCTCCCACTGCTCCAGGCACCCGGCTGTTCAAGAGCTGCTCGTATTAGTTTAACTTCAGTCATTTTAACAGCATGCAGAACAGTTAAATGATACAGTCATCTCATGGGACTATAGGCAGAGGCGAGTCCCATGTTTTTCCAAACTGGAGACTTGGCATTAACTTTACTACTATATTAATATATTTAAGCCCCCTTGTACACAGGCTGTGTAAGCTTGGGAAGGTGGAGTCCTCAAGAGCTCATTAGCCCATTTCATGGGGCTATAGAGGGGCTCGGCTCTTTAGCATCCCTAGAGTCTTTGAAGGGTAGGTGCAAGCATCTTATCCCTGGCATAGATGACTTCAAGAGGTTTTTCCTCTTTTCCAAAGGCTTTTTTAAACTTCTAAAAGCTAAGTAGCAACCTTGGTAGCTCAACCTCATGTTGATCCCACGTGGCTTGGGAAGAGGAGCTATGTTAAAAACTTCTTGCAGAAAGGCAGGATAGTAAATCTTAAATTGCATGAGACTTAGAACTGTGCTGTGTTCAGTTTTTTTGAGCCAGCCTTGAAGAGAGGAAGTAGAATTTTCACCAACTTGGCTTAAGGGAAAACAAAACAAAACGCCACAAACACAAAAAACCACCCCCCACCCCCAAAAACACTCCCAAAAAACTAATCAAAACAGATTCCTTGTTCTCAGTTTGCCTTTTTCCATAACAGAGCTCTGAGAAATGCTTTTGGAGGAATGTGCAGCTCAACAGAATTACATTTTGTGCTCCCAGGGGTTCAGGGAAGCACGCTGGTTTGTAAAGGGCAGCTCCTGGCAATAGCAGCTGTGCTGATACAAGTGGAAGGTCTCTGGCCATCTTCATGTCAGCAAGGAGAGAGAAAGAAAAACAGCCAACAGAGAACCTCTTCGAAGTGTCTGTAGTTCCTAACACTGAAGCCGACTGCAGCCTAAATATAAACAGAGATGGGATGATGGGAGGTGGTGTGCAGAAATGCTTGGCTGCTCCTGGCAGGTCCCCCTCAGTCTCTGGCATGAAGCGCAAGTGCGGGGCTGGTGCTGGAGTGCAGTTCTCCCTGCGGCCCCAGTTGTCTGTGAAGATGACTCTGAACTCTTTCCTGTCAGGCATGGATTGGGGAATTTTAAGTCGGATGTTTCTGAAGGTTGGGGTACCTGGCTGTACTTTAGGAATGGGTCCATCATGCCTGTTTTCAGCTGCCGCAAGGTGACGTCCCCGCGGCTTGAGCTGCAGCAAGCCGGTTCTCCTGTCTCAGGGCAAACCTGGGCGCACTGGCTGCAGGAAGATAGGGCTGAACTGGATTTTAACTGTGCTTCATTTTGAGCAGGTGCGGGATCATCCCAGAGTCCCACAGAGGGAGCTAAAGCCTGGGGAAAAGCACCGCTGGAGTGGCTGAGCAAACAGAAGAGGTCCCGCTCCTCCTCGGAATACCGGCTGCTTTGGTTTTGAACTTTGCTCAGGATCCTCTGGAAGATACTGTTTGGCTGTACTCCAACTTCCTGGTTTTCTTCCCTCCTTCCCCTCACCCTCCACTATAAATCTTAAAAATTGTTTGGGGTTTTGCTTTTCTCTCTGACAAGGCAAATGTGTTGTGAGTTCTGGGGTGAACAAATATCACAGTGACAGGAAAACTTCAGTAGCTGCTGACTAGGACTGTCCTGGGTGTGGATTTCAGTCCTAGTGTGTGAGGTCTTCCAGGGAGCTCCAGACTGGCTCCTGTTCTTCACTTGGATGTGGACAATAGTGTGCAAATGTGCTTGTTTTGTGGTGGTGATAGATGATTCCTCTTGATGGTTTATTCCTCCTCCTCGGTGGTCAGGGGTGGTCATCATCATCAGGGTTTGTGGTGGCCACGTAGTTATTGCCTCCTGAGGAAATCTGAACTCTGCAGACTCCCTTGGAGCTCAGGGATACTGGGTGTACCACCCCAGCCTCCAGCAAGGACAGCCCTCACCAGCAGCAAGACGGTGCCTGGCATGTGCTCTGCACTCCAGATCTCCTCTGCCGAAGCACAGGCTACAGTCTGTTCTTGCTTTGGGAGTGTTATGTCAGCTGGGGAGGGGATGGGTTTTTGTTTGCTACTTGGAGATAATGTTTTACCTTATTTACAGCTCCTCACTTGCTTATTTTTTAAATATTTTTCTCCAACTTTTACAAAATAAAGTTTTGTTTCTTTACCAAGATGTTGTTCAAGCATGTTATGATGGGTCTCAGCACCTTGGAGAATTTGGATGAGAAACTGTTGCAAGATCTTCCTTCAGGTTTCTTTTGCATCTACCTTAAAGGCTAAGGCATGTACAGGAAGACAAATCTCTTCTAGTTATCTGTAGATACGTTCCTCTTCCTATCTCTTTTATATGTATAGAAATGTAAACCTTTCATCAGTTTGAGCAAACTGTTCACCAGTATGCGTTGTTATAGTTCATTCTTACTGGCTTATTGCTGTGAACCGTGAAAAGACCTCTGAGAGGTGAGAATGTGGGTCTTGTTTGCCTTAGGCTCAGTTGACCTTATGGTCTGTGGCTCTCAGCTATGTGAGATTACAAACGTTATGTAATGAGATTATAAATTGCACTTTCTCCAGACGAGGCCAGGCTGTAAGGTAGGTGGGACTAATGCTGGGGAGAGCTGGTGCCATCCCAATGCCCAAATAGAGAAAATTCAAGTCGTCATGGGGCAAAAACCTGAGGCATGGGCAGGCTGACAGTTGAGTATTGCTTTGCAAGTTGCCATGTGATTCCAACCTGTGAATGAACTTTTCTCAGAATAGACTCAAACTCTGTTGGCCGTCTCGCAGGGCTGGAAGCAGCCAAGACCCCTGGTGTAATAAGTGGTGCTGGACCATGGCGATGTTCACAACTGATTGAGCGACAGTGTCTGTTATGAGGGTTGTACAATGCTTCCCATCTGGGATATCTGCTTTTCTGTGGTTTTATGTGGTTATGTGCCTCAAATTTAACTGGTTGATCTGGGCAGGCGAGGAAAGGAGTCCACATGCTGTAGACAGCAAGACAGTGATTGAAGGCTCCTCGCAGGATTTTGACTGCTCTGTCAGGGCCACTTGCAATGTGCTTTGTGTCAACACTCCGCCTTCTGATTGCATGACAAGCCTTTGAGAAAAATGTTGGCTTGCACATCGAGGGTTGTCCTTCAGTTTCCCTGTCCTAAATATTGCCATCCCTGAGCATGTCTCTGCCACTTGGATTGCTCGGTGTGCTCCAACACATGGACTGAGGGTTGATGTCAGAAGGAAGGGCAGGGAGCTGAGCTGTGTGCTGGTTTCCTGTAACTCTTGGGAGTCTTTGAAGGTCACGGAGAGGTTTTAAGTATATGGAGACAGAAAGAGCTGTATGTGTGGGGAGGGTGCTGGCTGCCTACGGGAGTGGAGCCTGGGGAGGGGAAGCAAGGAAAGCTAGGTCTGCAAAGAGCAGAGCTTGTGAAATAACAAGAGCTGGAAGGAAACCCGGCTGGAAGGATGAGAAGGATTTGTGGTGGTTGGAAGTGGAGTGGGAATTCTGGATAAAAAAATACAAGCCTGCAATGAGAATGTTGTGGGGAGGAGAGTGGGCTGTGTGAAGGAGGCAGGAGTGGGATGCAGCTCTGAGGGGAATAAAGAGCAAGGGGCTGTAATGGCCGGAGGGTACTTGCCCATGCTCTTTCCCCAGGCAGGAGTTGGTTAGAACTCGGTGAGTTCACCCCTCGCTTATACATACTATCACTACTGTTATACTGCTTATCAGTACTGTTGATACTGATTTGGTCATTGCAAAATCCTGTTCTCCTCTTTTCACTTTTTGTTTCCTTCCCAAGAC